TCCCCGTTTGTTTACTTTCCCATGTTATCTTCCACTTTATGAATCACACTAATAGTCATGTTTTTATTGCGAGCTCATGCTTGAGGGATTCTCAGAGAATTCAATCACAAAGTAAGAGCAGATCTGTTAAATTCCAGCCCTTTAATCTCCTCGGAAATTAGCGTGCTAACTTGAAGTGACCCATTCAGAATAGAGTCTTTGGATTGAACAACGCAGCTGTGAGATGTTCGGCTCATCAGCGGGTCCCCCGACATTCCCCACTTGCTTTCTTATGGACACTCTACTTTGGAAATCTCAGTATTTCGTCTCCTCAGTAAATCATTCGGAGTGAAGCTGTTTGGACTCAGTCCAGAAGTTGGTATGAATAATTGGGCCGGAGTTCGTAACCTTCCGAGAAATAACAGCGCAAACTGTTAAGGCTTGAAGCACCAGTGAAGGATGACTTTATGCCTAATTCGGCCAGGAGGCATGGCTATGTCCCACCGACCAATCGTAAGGCGCGGTTCCTCCCATTACCGCCTCACTCTTGTCCAGTAAACGGCCAAGTGTCTCAGCAAACCTCAAGCAGAATGTTTTGTGAGGATCGGCGGTATACAAATAAATGACTGGGAGTGTCCTACACAATCCGCCCTCCGCCCGTTAATTATTTACTCGCAGAAAATTAACAGACTGGACTGACCAATCAGAGTGAAGCTGATGAGAAATTAATCTGCTTTAAAAAGACAAACAGGTCGGTGGTCACCTGTTCACATACCTGGCGAATATCACAATTATTGCTTCCCTGTCTGCATGCTGGTGAAAGGACGGACCCCAGCTTCGTAGTTCAAAGAATTTTACAGGTGTTTTGGTAGATTTGTCTAATTCGTCTGGTCGAATTGTATAAAATAAACGGTGGCCTCGGGTGAATCCTAACCCACGACAGTCAACCTGCTAGTTATCCTATGAATTCGAGCGTGATTACTTAGGAAAACTTGCTTAGGCATCCTGCTTATTATAACAGAATTGGTGGAGCCCATACGTTGTAGAAGATGACGTGCGTAACTCTGCCAAATATGAATAAACTCACGGCTCTCGGTGAGGGCACCGTAGTTCAGGTGGTCAGGGTGTTGATCGCATTCAAGCCGTGCTTCAGCTGTCGTGAGTTCGAATCCCATCAGGACCACTGAATTCTTCAAAAATGAGTTAGCTGTATCAAAAAATCTGACATTTTTACAAGTATTTTCCTTGCCTTTAATTGAGGGAACACTAAGTCCTACGGGTTGTCTGTAGTCCACGTTTGCAGCGCAAATACACCAGACCGCAAAAGACCATATTTCATAGCTCGAGTACCACGCATTCTTGGTCCACCATGCACCGACCAGGTGAGCGTATGTGTGGCACGCGAAGTCGGGCTGTGTGGTTTTGCTAACCGTGACCGATCACATGAAATGTTGGCTGAAATTCTGAAATGCGTTTTCAATTAGGAAGGATCACTTAGGTGCGGTTGTGATATTGATTAGCATGCGGCATAATCCTATAGCATTTCGGACTCGGCAAGATGCCGGCTTTTGGATGTACTCCTTTCTGGCCTCCTATGGAAACCGTACTCGGTAAAAAAATGACCATTAAGTAGCATGCATTTTTCCCATGGATTTTCGATGGTCTTACAAATTCAAATGTATTTTGTAGAAAACGTCCACAAAATAAGCTTTTTTTACCGTTCGGTAGAAAATCAGGCTAGAAAGCAGTTCGTAGCCACGAATGGGAAGCGGACGGCGACCTTAACCCTAATCCCAACCTTAACCCTAACCCTAACCTCAACCTTAAACGTCAACCGTTAACCCTAACGGCAACCCTAACCGAAATCGTAAACGTGACCGTAGCTCTTTGACATAGCCGCAACTGAGAAGCCTAACCGTAATACTGAAACCTATTCGTACGCCCAGACCCTAACCGTAAGCCGAAAACCTAAGCCTAAAGGCATAACCCTAACCTTAAAATCGGAAACCATTAACCGGTACCCTAATCATAACCTCAAACGTAAAACGGAAGCCAAATGTGTCAGATGTGATTATGGAGCCCCATAAAATAGCCCCAGTAAACAAACCCCCAGCCACCTGTAATACGGGGCCTGGCTACCAACTGCGATCTAACTGAAAACCACATTGTCCTTATAGTTTATACCCGAGGAAAGTGCACATTTAGGTTTTATAAAAGTATATAATTGTGGAATTTTTAAGACCGTGCGATCTCCATGCATACAGGACCGCACATGTCCGTTTACCACTGTTTCTCATGAAATGTACAAAACAGTCCGGATCCATTGCAAAATTTTGTGAGCTCCATATGGTTACTTCTTAAAGGCATAGAGGAGCATGACTTCCCGAACACGGAAAGCATGCAGCTTGTAGACTGAAATCGCTAACCGCTAAAGCAAGAACTGACAAGCTCAAAATTATTCGGGAATTGGGAAACTTTTTTAAACCTAAATATGCACTTTTCTCGGGTATAAACTATAAGGACAATGTGATTTTCTACCGAACGGTAAAAGAAAGCTTATTTTCGTGGACGTTTCCTACAAAATGCATCTGAATTTATAAGACCATCGAAAATTCATAGGAAAGATGCATGCTACTTAATAGTCATTTTTTTTACCGAGTACGGTTTCTACAGGCGGTCAGAAAGGAGTGCGTCCAAAAGCCGGCATCTTGGCGAGTCCGAAATGCTATAGGATTATGCCACAGGCGAATCAATATTACAACCGCACCTAAGTGATCCTTCCTAATTGAAAACGCATTTCAAAATTTCAGTTAACATTTCATGACATCGGTCACGCATTGTATGCCCGATCCATCCCATGATCTTCTTTGCTCCGTCTTAACACCGGACCCAATAAGAATGTGGCCTACATGGCCCTCTCACTCATTTGGGGGTTCCAGTCGCCCCTCTCCCCCCTGTGCCATTTGTGCGAAAGACTTGTCGACTGTGCATGGGCTAGGCGTGTGTAGCACGCGCAGGCGGTCTGCTTAGCTCTGCCAACCGTTACGTCCGACTCCGCCTCTGGTCTTCTTGGCAACGGGTTCAGGTTGGTGAGGGAAAGGAGAGTGTGGCGGATGCAGTGCATGTTTACTATCACTATGAACTAGTGTACGCGCAAGTCACCGTCCCCGCATTCGTCATGCTGCGGAACACATGGTGGACGTACATTGACATCTGAACATCCGATCAGAAAGAATGCTAAAAACCCACTTCTTGAGGTGGGTTTGAATCCCTTACAGGGTGTGACCGGTGTCATGAAATTTAAGCCGAAATTCTGAAATAAGTTTTCGGTTTGGAAGGATTACTTAGGTGGGGTTGTAACATTGATTAGCGTGCGGCATAATCCTATAGCATTTCGGACTCAGCAGGATATCGGCTTTGGGATGCACTCTTTTCTGACCTCCTGTAGAAACCATACTCGTTAAAAAATGGCTTTTTTTGTAGCACGCATTTTTCGCATTGATTTTCGATGATCATCTAAATTAAAATATATTTCATAGAAAATATGCATAAAAATATGCTTTTTTCTACTCGTTTGATGGTAAATCACGTCGGCTTTATGTTTTATGTTTGAAGACAGGGTATACTTAGGTTTTGGAAATGTTTTCCAATCCCTGAATAACGTTGAGCTATAACAGCCGTTGCATTAGCGTTTTGCGATTTCAGTCTACAAGGCGCATGCCTCCTGCGTAAGGAAAATCATTTATTTATCTATGCCTTTAAGAAGATACCATTTAGATTTCATGAAACTTTACAATGAGTGCGGACTGTGTTATACCTTTCATAAAAAGCATTGGTAAACAGACAGGTACGATGCTGCATGTAAGGACATCGCACGGTCTGAAAAAATCGTGCAATTAAAAACTTTTCCAAAACCTATAAACACCCTGTCTTCAAACACACAATGTAAAGCCGACGTGGTTACCCACCAAACAAGTAGAAGAAAGCATATTTATGCATGTTTTCGATAAAATATATTTTACTTTAGATGACCATCGAAAATCAATGCGAAAAATGCATGCTACTTAATAGTTATTTTTTTAACGAGTACGGTTTCTACAGGAGGTCAGAAAGGAGTGCATCCAAAAGCCGGCATCTTGTTGAGTCCGAAATGCTATACGATCATGCCGCATGCTAATGACTATTACAACCCCACTTAAGTAATCCTTCCAAATCGAAAACGTACTTCAGAATTTCGGCTAACATTTCATGAGATCGGTCACTCACTGTAGACTGTGAACTGTGCATTACGGAATGCGCCTAAAAGCCAAGTTACCCGTGTAAACATATGAGTACTTACACCCAAACACCCGTTCCTTCCCTGAAAGTATCGAGGAGAGCAGAAATAGGCATTGAACATAAGCTTTAGTGGAATTCAGTATTTACAGGGTAGACTTTGATCCTTCATATTTTGCTGTCTGATACATCTCGTCAGCTGGGAAGGAGGAGAAAAAGGAGTCAAAAGATTAGGAGGGGAGTAGCGACAGGGGGGGAAGGAAATCTGTTTTGTGACAAGAAAAGAACACTCTGACCGGGGAAGCCAGGGAATGCGTGGTGCAACAGGTCCATCTTCTTTTGATTGCTCTTGGATGCCTTGTCCTGCTGAGAGGAGGCACCAGATAGGATAGTGAAGACGTGTGTGTGTGAATGTGTGCGTGGATTTGTGCATAAAACGTTGTGGGGGGGGGCAGGGCCAATAAGCACAGCACACCATCGTCTGTACAGATTTGGAAAGCGGATGGTGAAACCGAAAGTAGGAGCGTTCTCTCCAGGTCGGTGGTGGTGGTGGTAGCAATTTCCTTAAAGATGCCGTAGCATTCCTGCGTCAAGAAGACCGGATTAAGCAAAAGTAAAGATCACAATAGCGATGAACTAGTTTGGAATTAAATTCTGCTAGTTTTTGGACGCACAACGAAGAGGGGAGGGAGGGAGGGAGAGAGAGACGGCAAGGATGCAGAAAACAGGAGACGGTAGAAGCGTTGTCAGTGCGATTCACTGTCACCAGACTGCGACACAGCTGATGTAGCCGTTGGTCGCGTGTTGGCAGAGGAGGTTGTGACGTCGTTGCTGTTCTTACTGGAGTTGCCGGAGGCAGCAATCTTTCGAATGGCATTCAGGTAGGAGTTAAGGAGGTCAGGATTGAGACCAGCCAGTGTCTCTACAGCCGGCGCAACGGTGGAACTGGTTAGGAGACTAGACGCGCCGCCACTGCCAGTATCACTGCCACTGCAGGATGCGTTGGATGGTGGTAGTAGACCGAAGGTCTGAATCAGACTGGGTAAGAGATTGGGATTCTTTGGAACCGTCTCCTCCGTCGGCTTGACAGAAGAGAGGGAGGCCACTGCCTGAGCGAAAAGGAAGAGAGCCTTCTGTTCGGGAGTCAGAGCAGCCTCCAAATTCTGAACTGGGGGTGGCGGTGGTGGGGGTGGAGGCGGTGGTGGAGGAGGTGGCGGCGGTGGGGGTGCCGAAGCAGCTGCTGCTGCCGCCGCTGCCGCGACTTGTCCAGTGAGGAAATTAAGGAGGGAATTGCTGCCCAGGGGATTCTCAAATGCGGCGGGTGCTGCCACGGCGCCGCTGGTGGTGACCGGAACTGTTCGCGCAGCGCAGCCGGGGTCCACCGCTGCAGCTCTGGCGAGGGTGGCCAGCAGGTCAGTCGGCTTGAAACCGGCGAGTGCCTGTACGTCAGGCAGGGGGAAACTGAGAGATCCGGAGCCAACGGACGAGGTGATCGGCTGTTGTGACGGCGCCTGCTGCTGCTGTTGCCTCGAGGTCGCAGGGCTAAGTAGCGGCTGTTGCGTCGGGAACTGCAGGTGCCGCAGAAGGAGTTCCAATGCGGCCGCCTCTGTCGGCAGACCGGACTCCATCGGCTGGTCTGTGAAGGTAGGATTTCCAGTTCCTTGGTCGGTGGACTTATGCTGGGCAGTGGCTGATTGAGATGTCGGCGGCTGCTGACCTTGAGACGGTTGGTGCAGATGGAGGTCCTTTTGCCCTGCTCGACTATTGAAGAACTGGCTGAAGTCTCCACTCAATCCAAGACCCGCGTTACCACCGCCGGCGCCAGAGAAGCCAGAAAACAGAGGCGAGAAGGGATTGGTCGAGGGGCGTTTGTTGGATGCGATGGGAGACGAAGACCCTATTGCAGCGGCTGCTGCTGCCACTGAAGACGCCACAGATACCTGACTGCGCATGAGGGATGCCTTGGCCATAGCAGCTGCGTGACAGGACTGTTGCAACAAACACGGACACTTGTTTTTGCTTATATGCAATCGCACTTGACCCTTGTTGGCGAATGGCTTGCCGCAGAAATGGCACTTGGCCTTCTTCGTTATGTTTGCAACCATACTGCCAGAGTTGGCGACGGCGGTAGCAGAAGCGCCTCCCGCAGAGGTACTCATGTGGACCGGTAGGGAGAGGGATGTGTTCGGTAGACTGCATGCTCGCGGACCCCGTCCGGGTATGGCCTGAAAGGCCGGAGATGATAGTCCGAAGGTGTTGGCGCCACTGCTACTGAAATTTAGGACTCCTGCAGGTTGACCAAACAAACCTGGCGGCTGAAGAAATTGGGATTGTATAGCGGCGACCGCGGCGACAGCAGCCGCGCTGGAGGAGAGCGACGCCGCTGTAACATCCAACATGTCCAGGGGCCGCAGATCTGACTTTTTATCCTGCGCCTCCGCCTGCTCGCCGCCTTCGGAAGTAGTGTTGGGCCAGTTCTTGGTGAGCATCTGTAGACCAGACTGTTTAGCTGCCGCATTCAGGACCATTGTGAGCAGGCCCAACCACGCAGGTGGCAAATCACGTGCTAGTCCGACTTCTGCTTGAGTGGCTTCTGCTCCTGTCTCCAGATCTGGGGTGAGAGCACCAGCAGTAGTAGCAGCAGCACCACCTCCACTCTGCAAGGCGATGAGATCAGTCAGTAGTTTCATGTCCGGAGTGGGGAAGATGGCGGACTCTCCGCTACAACCGCCACCAGCAGCAGCAGAAGAAGAAGAAGCAGTAATTGTGTCGCCGCCGGTCGTTTGTGTAGCGATCGTCTTCGGAGGTGTCGACAGCTTTCCAGGGATCATGGATGAAGCCTTAGACATGTAAGAGTAGAGAGCTGAGACGGCTGAGGCCAAACCAGCCTGGGAGTTGGGTGGTTTCACTGCGGTGCTGACGACTGGAAGGCTTAGCTTCAGGAGATCAACCTCGCTGGTGGGTGTATGGCTTAAGGAGGCTGGAGAGGGCGAATTCGCCTTGTCGCCAGGTTGGCAAACACCACCGCCGCCGCCGAAGGAGGAAAAAGATGGACGCAGGGGAGAACCGAGACTCTTGACGTTGCCGGAGACTTGGTGTGTAGTTTCCACTAGCTTCTGCAGAGAGGACAGGGGATTTTCGCTGGCACCCAGTGTCGTGCTGGTATCCATCATATCGCACTGAGCGGGGGCGCCGAAGAGTTGGTTGGATGCTTTCTCCACCTCCACCTCGGTCGGGAGTTGACTGCTAAAGCCTGACGGAGCTGCGGCCGCGCTTGACGAGGATCCGCTGGAGTAACGTCTCTTTCGCTGACCTGCCCTGTCAGGGTTGGAGCTTGACCTGCTGGTTTCTAGGCTGGGCATGTCGTAGCAATTCGCACCCATCGGAGACTGATTCGGTCTCGGGAAGAGGCCCCCAAAAGCTGTGTGTACTCCCTTCAGGAGAGAACTGGCGCCCGGATTACTTCTATGCCAGTTTGTTTTGACTGGACTTGAAATCGCCGGATAGGGTAGACTCTTTTCCACAAAGGACTCAATCTGACGAATAACACTGTCTGAACAGCCTTGACTCCGTCGTGTGTCCGACGAATCACCCTCTGGTTTCTCCCATCTATCCCCACACTGAGGGCTCGAGGTGCCGCGACTCGAACTCGGAGAGTGAGAGACCTCAGCTGCGCCAGTGGAATACTTGCTCTCCCCCTCGCTGTTGTCCTTGCCTGGAGACGGCGCCGCTGCAACCACTTTGTTTTCAGTCTCTTCAGCATGCTGGAGAGTTGAGGGACAGGAGTACGTGTCCGGTGATCTGACCGGTTTAGGCGACTTCGTTTGCAGTTCGTGTGAACTGGCAGGCCTCTGGCAGGGTTCAGCAGCTGCCTCCTCCGAGGTTCGCTTTCCGAGCTCCACGCCACTCTTAGCTGCTGCTGCTTCCTCCTCTTCGCCCTCCCCCTGACGCAAAGGTTGGTGATTGTGTTCAAGTCTCAAAACCTTAGCAGGTGAGTCCTGTTGGTAGTGCTGTGGTGAAGCCGGCCGGTGCTCGTTCGAGAGCGGAGGGTTATTGCTGCCTCGCGAACTGGACTCCTCATCTGATCGGCAGGTCTGCTGTGGCCGCTCTGTCGGTGCCAGTGAGGGTGATGCTTTGGCATGAAATGCTCCCGTGCCATTTGTTGTGCTGGCTGAGATACTGCGTCCGCCGCGTTTATACGAACTGGATCCCGGGTACTTTAGACCTCCACTGGCCCAGAGAGAACCGGGACCCGCAGACGAAGTCCCCGGTAAGGAGCGATTCTTGTCCGCACGACCAGCATCTCCGCCGACGCTAGAGAGGGCCTGACTTGCCAGTAGATTACGTCCCGCGTCACTATAGACAATCTCTGAATAGTGATTAGTTTTCATCATGTGCATCGTGAGTTCGGGCAGGCTGCGGAAGGACTGATTGCAACGCATGCAACGCAAGATCTCGCGTGTTTGCTCCGTCTCACTGTTGATCCACATGTCCTGACCACGCACTAACTTCGGAATGTCCCGGTCGGGTTGACTACTGCGAGGTTTGTGACCGGTGTCTTTCATGTGTAGGGTGAAAACATAGAGACTGTCGAAGTCCTCCCCGCAACTGCACAAGAAGGCCGTCTCTCGGGAACAGCGCGAAGAAGTGAGTGTAGGCAGGCTTCCGGACAGGCCCCCTTCAGGACTGACCTGCGTCGGCAGACGAACGCCCGCAGTGGACTTGAGAAGCATGTTGTCACCGGCGGAGGCGTTAGAGGAGAAGCGAGCAGCCCCAAGTGGGAGGGGATCTCCACGGTTGGATGGCCCGTTGCAACGCCGGCCTCCAGGAAACCCAGCACCACCTGCACGGCTAGGGAGGTTGGTCGATTGGCCTCGGAGGAATCCCTCCTCGGGATTCTCTAGGTTCGACTGTGGGACGTTCAGTGCCTGTTTGCGGTGATGCTGGTAGAAGGCACTGTACTTCTGATTGCCTCGCATGGAGATTCCGCTGAGGTTGGGTGGTTGAGGAGTGGGATCGGCAGTGATGTGAGTGGTGTTGATTGTTGGCGCAGGGATTGGTTGCTGTGGTTGGTGCAAGACGTCGCTTACTGCGGCCTGTCGATTGGACTGACGACCAACAGTGGACGTGGTAGATGATGCAGTCGGTCCCCTAGATGACATCCAGACGGGAGTTCCGCCTCGGTTAGCTTCAGTTAAGCCCGAAGAGACTGGAGAAACAGTAGTTGCTGCTGCTGTTTTTGGCACTGCTAGCGGAGGGGAAAGTAGCATAATGTCCGGCAGGATGTTAGGCGGTAGCGCCTGGCCGCCAAGTGAGGCTGGAGGTTTGGAAACCGGTGGCACCGCTGCCTGTGGCGTCCCACCTGATGTCGCCGCCAGGGCCATCAGTTGTTGACCCAACTGGAAAAGCAGGTCACGCGAAGCTGGTAGATCGGTCAAGAGGTTTCGTCCCTCAGCAGTTACCGCGGATGGCTGTGGCGAGATTGGCGCCGTTATGTCGGCCACTGGATCCTTTGACTTGGATGGAACTCGCGTCAACTTCTGACCGCCGAAAAGCGCAAGCAATGAGGAGGCGACGTCGTTGAGGGGGTTCGGCAGAACAGAGGCTGGTGGCGGCGGTGGCGGCGGAGGTGGAGGAGGAGGGGTAGCAGGAGCAGTAGCTTGGGGGAGGAGCAATTTCGGTGTGGCGTTGCCATCCTCAGTGCCGCCTTCTGCACGTCCAGCAACGGACCGAAGAAAGTCGACGAGAACTTTCAACTGACTGGAGACATCGTCGGTTTTAGGCGTCTTTTTGGTGGCTGGTACCGCCGTCGTGACTAACTCCGTATCGTTTGAACTTCTCAAGGGGCTCGTGGAAGTGGAGATAGAATTCAGTCGGGGACGTCGATCTGTGGTCTCGCCGCCATCCCGTTCAGTCCCACTGGCAGTATTCTGCGATCTCTTGAGGGGCTCCACAAGGACACTGTCGCGAGAACTAGCAGGGGAGCAGGGGGAAGCCGATCGGCCACTGGGGGAGACAACGCCCTCTCCTGCGGCCAAGGTTGGAGGACGCTGGTCAGCCGGGGATCCGTCCAGCGCAGTTACCTCAGTCTCCATATCCTCCTCTTCGCCTTCCTCAACTGCCTTACGGAGCTTTGGGCAGTCTTCCGTCTTGAAAGTGGCGGTCGCTACAGGGCTGAGGGGATCAGTGGCGGCGTGTGAAAGGTCGAGCGGGGAACGGGGAGCTACGACCGGGCTGCCCTGGCTGCCGAACGACATACTGATCGTCATTGATGATGAGGGGACGCTGGTGGATCCGCTTGCTCTAGTCTTAGAGGAGCTAGGCGACACGGAGAGGGGACTGCTGTGACCACGTTTCGCAGTGCAAGCGGTGTCCGGCGGTGGTTTAGCTGAGAAGACGTTCATTAATTCTCTGTCCTCAGTTTACTGACTACCCACCTTCTGGTCAGGAAGCATCCGGTGAGTTGTCTCTGTAGAGCGAAGGGGATAAAAGATAAAAGGAATTAGAGGATGGGAAACATTTTTGAAGACGTAATTAATGCGGGAAAAGGTTGGGGGTAAAACGCTAATGGTATGCAAATTAAATTTTTAATTAAATAATGAATTGGTTTATAGTTCACAAGCAATAAATCCTACTGCCGGCATTTTTGATGCCTAACGGAGGTCACGGTTAATAAGTAATGAGCCGAGATAGCAAGCCGTTAGCTGTCTGAAGGAGCCAAAAACGCTTCAGTAGAAGTAACTTAAAATGCCGTCTGATCGTTGTCATGTAGTACACTTCCGACTGCCACTTATCAAAAGCTCGATCAACGCCTCTCTCAAAACCAGATTTGTGCAGAGAGCGGAAGTTATGACCTCCGCTACTCACTGAGACCTAAATAAGTAAACGTAGTTTTCACGGGGATACCGTGCGAGGGCAAGGTCGCAAAAAGAACGCCTGGTAGTCAGTCAGAAGATCGCTGTCGAAGAATTCGATGGAAGGCACTCAGTCCTTCTCGTTCAGAACTGCAACTGCTAAAAATAGCTCCGCAACCTTACGGTGAGGGAAGAAGCTAGGCTTTGAAAGTTTCCAATTTCAATCCGATCTAACTGCTTGGTTGACGACGGCAACCAAGCCACAATCGACCGCTTCCGTATCCCTCATATTTTCCAGTAAAACAGTATTGGAGGATAAAATGTTTCCATAAACAAGTACATCGTATGGTTACGGTGATGTAATATGGATATCGTAATATGGATCTAAACTTTCGCACTTTATAGTGCCAAGATGTCATGGATCAGAGGGCACTAGAGCAGGCTTGCGGGAATTCCGGTGTAAGCTTAGATAAAATTGACCCAGAAGTTCCTTTCTGCGTTCGTATCCATGTTTATGAGCTTGATGTTTATCTGTAGTTCACGCAACAGAAACCAGCCTAGAAAAGGCTGGAGGACCAATTGAGAGACCGGTCCGCCGTAGTCAATCAGTGATCAATCTCACGAAATGCTGACAGAAATTCTGAAATACGTTTTCGATTAGAAAGGATTACTTAAGTGGGGTTATAAGATTATCCATCCTGCGGCATCATCAGTTCAGACACGCCGGGACGATGACTTTTCAATGCACTTCTTCTCGGCTGCCCACATAGACCACACTTAATAAAAAAAAGGACCACTTATGTAGTATGCAGTTTTTCTATTGATCCTCCATACTTTTATAAATTCAAATGGATTTTATAGAAAACCTATAACAAAAATATTCTTGCTTGTACGTCATTGGTGAAAAATTATGTTTTCTTCAAATCTTATACTCGTTTAAATCCACATATGCGTACTAGTTAGAAGCCGAAGCAAGTTCTTAGTCAAATAATCTGCTGCGAGGGCCTCTGTCCACCAGTGAGGACTTGCCCGGTTAATCCCCCGGAGTGACATTCATACAATCCAAAAATTAATTGCGATTGGAGATGAGAATGATTACCCCCCGCCTCCCATATTACACGTGACCTTGACCTAAATTCCAAGGGGGTTGCGTCTAGGGTGAGGGTTAAATTTAGGACATGGGAGTAGGTACTCCGACTGGAATTTAACGCAAAGCCACCTACTGTACGGGGGCGGATGCTTATTCGGGTGTCCAACTGTCCACTGACATTCCGGGCCTACCCTAGAGTGTCGTCTCGGGGGCACTTAACTCCAAGTCCTTTTAATGACTTGCCAAATTACCAGTTCATCCCAAATCCCTGTCCCAGCTTCCCCCATCTTAGTCGGTATCCCCTTGCACGCACTCTAAATTGAGCTTCAGAACTCAGTGCAATGAACATGTCTCTCAACCTGAACGGTAGACGGTTCTAACTGACAGGACTATTGGTCAGCTAGTCAAAGGCGGTGTAAGTAAATACGGTGTGCTTTGCCTCATGTAGGAAATGGCATCGACAAAGACAGGGGGAGACAGAGATGGCTTATTAGTCGTCGTCAGTCGGTCATACCGAATGCCAGGGCTAGATGGCCTGGAATTCGAACCTGGATTGAGCGATGATCAGTCTAGCCCTGTCAGCTATGGGCAGGAGCGCGTTCGCCTACTGGGTTACGGAACATGCGCATTCTGTTGCGTCTTGGGCCTCAATTTATAGCTCTCACGGGCAGTCGCACTGGGACCAGTAATGGCGTAGGAGTGCTAGCAAAAATGGGAGGCCCACTTAGCCCTCTAGATGAGAATGAAGGAGGATAAATGAAATAGAAATATAAAAAGAAGGAAAGGGGAAAGCAATCCCTCGAGTTGTCAATGAAATTTAAAAATAGCTCCGTTTGGATCCATACTAGAAGAAGGTTACAAACACCAAACCAGGACTACCGCACCTCAAGCATTGCTCTAAGCGCAATTAGTCACCCTCTGTGGAGCTGCTTTGGAACAGGTCAAACACATGCAAATGTGGCCTCCGTCATCCAGCCTAATTACGCCGAAAGTGTCCAGGAGCCCTGGTTCTTGATACCGATCAACCAAAAAGATAGACTCGGTATGTCTACGACATGCATGTCAATGTTGGGCGAGAGATAACCAAGACTCATAGTCAGCATTCCAAACCATTACGTACAGAACATCTGGCACAGAATGCAGGGGAGAAAGAACAGTCAGCTGTTTTGTCTAGATTGGGCAGTCTGATGAAGGCATTGAGGTGGGGGGTAGGCGGGATGCAGGTCCATGGCTCGGTTGACTGTGCCAGTCGAGGACCAAATTTCGAGCACCAATCTGGCCATCTTCTCATTGGCTCGACCGATCACCCTTGCTTACTCAAGGACAAAACTGTAGTTAAAGTGCTGTATGTGGGCCGCAGACTAAAAACAGCTTGTCCTTGTGGTTGATTGCAAATTGGTGTTCGTGCAGTCTTCTACCGAGGCGTTTGCCCCTTTCACCAACGTACTTCGCATCGCAGTTTAAGCATGGTATGCTGTAGACTACCTCTGATTGTTCTATTATTGGTAGCGGATCTTGTGGCCTCATGATTTGCTGCCTGATGGTGCATTCTGGTTTATTTGGCGCACCAATCCTGAAAGGTTTAAGAATTCTTGCTGGCTCGCACCGATCGCGCCACGGAACTCACTCGTCCCGTTTTGCCCCTCTCTCTCTCTCGAGCCCCGCCAGCATTCGCATAGTGGCGTGCAATTTAAGCAGAATGCCATTACCAACAAAGACAAGGGAGACTCAGGATGGCCATTTCTGGCTTGTTTGTCGTCGTCAGCCGAGGTGGGCAACACCTGGGACCCAATCATGCAGTAGGTGACACAAACATGACCACCGCCCTGTACAAGTGGTCCCCGCCTGTTAGGCAAGTTTGCGGATTGGTAGAAGTTTAACCAGTACGGCATGCACATTAGTCATTCGCAGCATGTCTGAAGTCAAACATACCAGTATTTGCTCATCCCTAAGGACCTATTCTTCCTGTGGCACGGATGCAGATAGCAGAGTTGGGAGGGGCGGTTTTGGTGGTCGGAGAGCCAGTGCGGACTAAACCCTGATGCTTCTTAAGTTGCCGCCAGGAATCTGCTCTAACCCTCGGCTTCTTCGCCTTTGAGGCTGCAGACATGGAGTGTCTCTTACTTGCTAAGCATCGGCATTTACAGGAGGAGGAGGAGGAGGAGATGCGAAGGGTTTCTGTGTCTGGTCGACCGTCTCTGTGCTAAACGTTTGTTACGAACGAGAAGAGCTGTTGTCAACACACCGCCTGTAACATCAAAGTGGACGAGGGCAGAATGACAAGTGATGCGGCTTCCGGTGTGACTGACGCACGCTCACAAACGCCCGCACCACAAACTCGTACACTGAAAGATGTGTGTGTGTGCGTGCCTGCTGGCTTTGATGAGGGTATCACGCACAACCCTCGTCAGGCCCTACAACGGCGTGACAATCGAGACATTCTTGTCTCAGCGCGCATGCACAGCAGGAGGCACTGTTTGGTGTGCTCGGGAGGGGGGGGCTGGCTACCGTGAAGAAACACAGACAGGGTCCAGACGGGATCGCATGCTTTGAAGCGCCTGCGCGTGCCGACGCTGGTGAGAGGGCGCGCCAAACTCTATTCCTTTTTAAGTCTCTTGGTTGCCGAGGCGCGTCGTAAGTCGGCAACGCTGCCTAGATGCAAACGCAGCTCATGCGCCGTTATCCTTTAGAGGCGCTCCGGCTCCTCTCCATTGCTCTCTTCTCCGTCCCATCTCCGCCCCCCCCCCCCAAGCTTGGGGAACAGCTCTAGAGGCGCCACCGGTTTCTTCGTCTTGTCAGTCCGCAGCCCTAGAGACCGTTAGTTGTGCGTATGTGCACAAACACATGTGACAGCTCCTCTTGGACGCCCCATCTACACACACACACGCTGGCGCGTGTTCCGGCCTCACGACAGCGTCGGCGCACCGCGACTGCCACGCCGACTGTGGGGTGCGTCCGCGCCGAAGTGCCGCTGTGTCTGCGTGGGCGCAAACAAAGACGCACGCGCCCCCGCCGCCGCCACCGCCAACGATGGAGACGAAGGGAGAGAGCGAAGGGCGGCACGGCATCAGTTTGGTGTGTGTGTTTGTACGCTCATGATTGATGTGTGTGCGGCATCCTGACAGTTGGCATTGGAAGGCGCGGCGGCGGCATCTAAACGAAACGTTGCACGCACGCACACAGACGCACGCGGGGACACGCCGCGCGGGAGCACGCACGTGCGCACTGACAAGTGAGACGCGCAACGCACACCGTGGTGGTGACGGTGGCGGGCGGCGTGTTTTCGGACAATTTTTGACTGCCGAGGCTACCAACGTCGGGTACACTTATCGCGTGCGTGTGTGTCTGTGCGTACATGCGGAGGAATTGTATGTCGCCCACTCTCAGTTTCATGATGGGAACCCAACCATGTGTTAAGAACCTTCAATGGACCTTGCCACCTTTGTTATTAGGAGTCAGG